TTATGGGTTCTCCTTCAAGTCTTATGTGGCAAATGCACACATGCACATGTAATCAACACCCAGCAATACATAGAGTGCTGCATATTATATAAACTATTATGCGCTTTGCTATTTTAAAAAACATAACCTGGCCATCACTCTATATATCACTGCATAAAGATCTTCCTCATTTCTCTTAAACAGTAGTCCCCCCGCTCCCCCATCCTTATTGATTTTTGCCTCTGTCCTGCTCAAAAATCTTTATGGGCTCCCACTGCCCTCAGAATTAACCTGAAACTCCTCAGCATGGCTGTTAATAACCTTAGCAACAGAATCTTAATCTCAACCCATTTCTCATCTTATTTCCAATTGCTGTCTTCCTCAGCTGTTTCCCAGACAAGCAGTGCTCCTCACCAACTCCTGAGCCCACTCTGACATTTTCAGCACCTGAAGCTCTGTCCACAGCATTCTCCTTGCTTGGCACAGCACACCCTCATTCCTCCCTCATTCCTCCCGTCTGTCTAGCTCCTACCCATTTTTCAAGTTCTACACCAGTGCTCATCTCCTTGAGGGTTTTAACTATAATAATCAGGTTTTTCTTTTTGACTGATGGCATCTATTACTTAAAAATAAATTAGCAATTAATCACCCACTGCCTCAAATTTTCTCTTATATTTTTATTATTGTCATATTTTCACATTATGCTTTCAGGTTTTCTTTTTCTCCGAGGCAATACTGTGCACTGAAACTTTTATATGGCCCATGGAAATGCCTTAGGATGATGTGGCAACAACATCATATTACTGTAAGAACTTCTAAAACTTTAACCTCATTTTCTGAACTTAACTTGCTGCTGACTGGCACTTTCCAGTCCCCCTGCTGAGAGTCCTTTCTAGCTCTGTGTGCACAACAGCTGCAGGCACACATTACTTCGCATACAGGATTTGCTCACTGCTGCTTCTCAATTCATTATGTACTTATTGCTGGCTGCCAGTCATTCTCCTGTGCCTATATTACAATGTGGAAATTAGGTATTAATAATGCCATAGATATTTCAATGACAATGAATCCCAAAATTACATAAGGCTCTCATTAAGTAATGCTATTAAAAATGCTTTTGAGAAAAAGATTATTAGTATGCTTCAACTCTTTTTAGAATTGGCATGTATTAGCACTCTATGTTAAAAAAGGAAGTTTTTTTTCTGGATATTTAAAAACTTGATTAAACACACTAAATAAAAATAAATCAGGAATTTGACTTTCATATTCAGCATACAAGGAAATGGAAAAACTATGTCATTTTATAATTAAAATGGCCAGGTAAGCTCTTCTGTCATATAAAACTGTTTTTGTACATGTAAAAGAAAAAGGATCAAGTTTAATGAGGCTTTATAATGTGGTATAGACTCAGAATATTTGTGTTAACTAGAATAAGGAATTAGGGCAACATTCAGCATGTTCAGAGAATAAAGTTGCGATAATATGTAGTTCTTTACTCAAAAAAAAAAAGCTTTCAGTTTGTCCAACTCATTATCATTAGCATGTATGCGGTTACAAAATAAATATCACAGAAATATCCATGACATATTTAATTCAATCATAAATAAATTCAATCTAAGAAAATACAGACTCAGATTTTTAAAAATCAAAGTCAAAGATCTCTTGTGCATTAAAATGTTAGATTTATTTTCTTTTTCATAGATGGAAAACCCATACTTATTCCAAATATAACATAGTTATTAGAAAAAATTTTAAGCTGCTTACTTAATTTTCACATTGGTTTTGCAATTTTGGAGAGTCATTCTCCCCTCCTTAGGGGCTTTGCTCTGTTCCTAGGGGTCAGGATGTTGATACTGAAACAGATGGGACTCCTGGTTAGCACAGGCCTCAGCTTTCTGGAGCTCAAGCGAGTTCTTGCCTGCTGAGCATGCAGGACAATAATTCAGTGCCACGACATCATGACCAACAAGATGCCAAACCATGCAGTTTAGTTAAAACCAACATGAAGTTATTGCATTCAACCTCATCTCATTCATTCATTTGTTGGTTTTCCTATTCATTTAGAAAAGATTTACTGAACACAAACTTTTATGCAAGATACTACATAAGGCCCAGGGTCCATGAAGCTGCATAAGGCAGGACCTAAAGGAGCTCATAGTCTGGCGAGTGACAATGTGGTAAACACTAAAATGTGGGAAATGCAAAATATTACAGGAGGGGCTGGTGAATTTTGCCCAGGAAGAAAATGTGGTTTAGGTGGAATGGCTATAAAGAAAAGTGATAACTAATTTGGAACTTAAAGGATGAGTTGAATTTTAATGAGCATCGACGGGGGAAATCAAGATGCTTTGGGCTCAGGGGGTACTGTGGGCAAGGAGTGGCAGTGTGGTCACGTACAGCAGTGAGAGACAGGGGAGTGTGAGGTAGCAAGTGGTGAAGAGGCGAGTCCTGAAGACAGACTGGGTCAGGTTCCAAAGGGGATGTGATCGTCCAGGTAAGTACTTAGGACTTCATGTAACATAGAGAGGCAAGAGAGAAAATGAATTGATCATAATTTAATGGTAAATCAAATTTCTTACACTGAAGAAAAACAACCCCAGTAAATCCCAGGAATCTTGATCTTGATTATCTGAATATAATGAAGAATATGCCTCCTTTTCAATACAAAAAAAAAAAAAATGCAAATTTTAAATGGCTAAAGATTTAGAAATTCAAGAAATCAAATAAAAAGAAATAGTTTAGAAATATGATATAAAACACTAACATTTGTTATGGCAAGTTCTGTCTTATAACTAGTTTCTCTCTCTTCTCACCACCCCAAACCCCCCATTCTAATTCATTCACAAAGGCCTTCAATTACTCCACATTGCCCACCAAATATAATTCATACACCTTTTTTGGTATTTCCAGAACTTCACAATAATAACTTCACTGACTTCTCTAGCCATATTCTTTCTAGCTTATTCTAGAATATAAGCTTCCTCAAGCCAAGGTCTATGTCATTCAGCCAATGGTGTTTAACAATGACTACCCAAGTCAAGTTTCTCCTATGGAGTTGAATCTGTATCAGTTCCAAGCTGATGACTGTGTGTGTGTGTGTGTGTGTGTGTGTGCATGCATATTATTTTACTATACAGTTCAAGAAAATAAAGCCAAGTGTGAGGAGTTCTACTGATTTTCAACTCTCATAGGCAGCTGATTGCTAAATTATATTAAATGAATCAAACTTACTATGTAGTGAGCCAACTGGCAGGAGTGACCCCAAAAATAGTTAATTTGCTCAGTTTTTCAGACTTCATATTTCAACAAAAAATGATTTACTTAATGGAAGATAGACACTCTGATTCTTCTATAAAACAAATAATTCTCATCCAAAGATGTGAAAGGGAGACTTGAAATGGACAACCTACTTCTCAATGCAGACTGTTATATGGCAGTGGAGAAACCATTCATGTTGGGGACCTTGGCATCTAAGCACAGGGTCTTCACCACCTTATAGTGGATAAGGAGGCAGTGTAGTGTCATTGTAGCACAGATGCAAAAGTTGGAGAGATGAGGATTTGAATCCTGACTCCATATTGGCTGTGTAACATTGTGCAAGTCACTTAACCCTCTAAATCTCCATTCTTTCATCTGTAAATCTGGAATGATTATACCAATCACATAGGGCTATCATCAGGATTACCTAATATAATCTATGGATCCAGTGCAGGCATATCCTCCTTCTCCTCCTCCTCTTAATAATAATAATAATGAGGAGTAATTGAACACTTACTAGAAGAAATGGAAATGTAGGGAGGTCAGTAGCTTGCCTGAGTCCTCACAGCTGTGAGGTAATGAGGTAATGGAGAGGCCCAGTGCCTTCCAGATGGTATGTGTTTCATAAATGACAACTGTTATTTTTACTGCCACTACCACTGTTTCTTCTATTACCACTATTATTACTCTTCTTCTACTATTTATGATGACAATATGGCATTCTGCAGGCACGATCTACATTGCTCATGTCTATTGCTGGGTGGCTAGCACAGTGCCTGGGACATCAGTAACAGGCCACAGTCCTTTTACTGGTGGCCTAGTACTTAAGCTTACATCCCAGACCCAGTTCACTCATGCACCATCATCAGGATCTACAAAGGCCCTGGCAGTGAGATGCTGACACACTAACTGCCTGGACAGGATGGGAGATTGTCACTGCCCAGACTGCTACCCTGTAGCAAACCAAGCAAACTGCATTCTTTGGGTTCTGGATTAACTTCTTTAATTCCTATACTACATGAATCTTTGGTGCCCCTAAAGAGAGGTGTGCATTTTTCTCTTTCTCTTTCCAGCTTAAAATTGGCATTAACTAGGCTGAATACTCAAGAAGAGAAATGAAAGGGCAGCTCACTGTGCCATGTTCATACGTCAAAGGACATTTCATAATCTCTATGCTCACAATTAGACAGAAGTCTAAGGCTTGCTTGATAGCCGATGACTGACACCATGGCTGAGAAGCACTGTTTTATCTTTTTAAACAACAAAGGAGAACATACAGATATATTTGGATTTAATTTGAATATGCTTAAAACACAAAGTTAAAGGTATCAATTGTTTTTCGTAATAACTATTTTCACTAGAATAAACAAGCTCTAAATAAATAAGATGTTGGCTACATTTATGATTCATAGCAACAAAAGAAGCTTTAATTACTACATTCTGTTTCCCAAAGCAGGTTTTTAAAAATCTTTCTCGTGTCTTTGTGTCTCTAATGCTGGGCAAGGGCAATGTCTTGAAGAAGTCTTTCTTTATGCCCAAAATGACTTTGACAACATAAAACACACCCAGATGGCTTCTGAAATGGAAGTCTTTGCAAGGAGAACCTGGTCTATCAATCCCTCAATGGTGGTATCGTCTACATTAGACAATTCTTTCAGGCATTTCCCCAATGGTTTTGTAATCATTACCATCTTCATACCTGCTTGAGCTGTTCTGTGCTTATAAAGAAGCAGTGTATTGTACCTCCAAAATACGAAGCTTACCAATGCACCGAGAGCCATCTGTTGAGGTTACGTATCCACGTGGACAAACACAAAAATAGCTTCCCACGGTGTTGGAACATTCACCAGTTTCACATATCCCAGGAATGAGGCTGCACTCATCGATGTCTAATCAAGGAAAGAAGGAAAAGACGGTTGAGAAAGGCCTTCATTAAATAGCTTTTAAAAGGGATTTTTAAAAAAAGAGTACGAGAGCACTCATGGCTGATTAGGTCAGATCACATAACCCTGAAGATACTCTTGTTTCAGGCCCTGAAGAATTTCTCACACATATCTATGGGAAAAGAGATGAAAGTAAACTCCCATGGCAGTAAAGCAAGGCCAACTAAAGCAAAACTCTATATCCTTTTTTTACCAAATGCAATTTAAATTGGAAATAAGTAAAGATGTTAATGTTTTAGTTTCCATTCTATATCAACTAGGGAATTATCCTACTAGAACCTTTTTTAAAAAACCACATACACGGATTAAATTTCAAAATGTGGAATAACTAAATTTGAAAATTTATAGCTAATTTTCAGACGAATTATTTAAATCAATGGAAAGTGGCAAATACATTTTTATTTTTTCTAATTGGCTTCAGGAGATGTGTTTGTACTTTCATTTGAATATGGTTATATTTGACATTCTGGGAATAACTTCAATCTAAAATAATACAGAAACATGGCAATGGGTGAACTTTGGGAGGTTTTGGGAAGTGTCCAGTTTTCCTATTGTACCTCTCTGCACTTACCCATTCAGCTTACTCAATGCTGGGAATAGTCTATTTCCTCTCACATTAATGAAAGGTCTGCTTTCTTTTAAATTTTTCCTAAAGCAGAAAACCTGGCCATTTATATAAGCTTTAATGTACTCTCTTCTAGTCCAGTAAGCAGCTGAGAGGTGGAAAGTCAAACAAGCTGCAATTAGGTACACTGGAAGATCATTTTTAATACATTTAAAAGGGAATGAGCCATTGTGAGGAAAATCCAGCCAGGCATTCCTGGGAGTTGGCTGTCTTTTTAAAGGAACAGAGGTAACAAAGACCAATGAATAGAGACAACAATTATAAAAGCCGTAAATATAGATAATTACTAAAATGTCAAAGTAAACTGAAGCTTTTAGTTTCTTTTTAGCTGCATATATTCTTTTCGAATGTATCAATAAAGCAGACAGGAAAAAATAATTATATTCTTGTTGTAAATATAGGAAAACATTTTTTAAACCCCACAACTAAAAAAATGGTTGACAATGTCTTTCTTGCATTGCTCCATTGGTCTATTCGTTATTTTTTCTTTCCACGTACTTTGACAAGTCAGTCTTGCCTACAAGCTGTATCATGAAATAACTATATGCTTGTGTGTCTCCTTGGCATGTTCTTAGAAAAAGAGTTACTAGATTGAGACATTCTCTGAAATCATATCTTCTTTGGAGGCTTCACAGTTAGCCACTGAAGGTACAGAGGTACAAATCAAAATTTACCAATTCCCCAAGAGAGATCAGAATTCTAACGTGAATTGACTACATGAAGAGCAAATACATAATGTGGTGGAAGAGTTACCATTAGACTTAATCCAACAAACTGAAACCATGTGTGCAAAATTAGGACTTGTTGCATCCTGTGTTGCTACCTTGGTGTAATGCGAATTCTAACGTGAATTGACTACATGAAGAGCAAATACATAATGTGGTGGAAGAGTTACCATTAGACTTAATCCAACAAACTGAAACCATGTGTGCAAAATTAGGACTTGTTGCATCCTGTGTTGCTACCTTGGTGTAATGCGTCTTAATACAACTGAATGTGTATTCAGAAGAGAGATGAAACTGGAACAGCTATACTTTAATCACCAAATAAACTTAATCACCTCTAGATAAGGAAGACAAAAAAAAAAGAGAACAGTACAAAGTAGAGCAAGCAGCACTAAAGTGAAGGACTAACACTTGCCTTCTGATTCTCTTAATATCTAAAGTTACACCAACAATCTAGGCGCTCATGGAGCCCAGGATTGATGCAAATTCTCAAAAATTAGGAGATTCAAGTCCTTCATTTAAGCATTAATTTTTATTTCCAGGCATTTCTTTTCATAATAAAGAACTTCTTTGTGCCTACTCCTAAATACCCTCCCTGACAACAAAAAAGAGTAGAAAATTGACAGATGTTTGACATTTTTATTTTTGGGGGAAAAAATCTGGGGCATAGAAGAACACAGAGAGAGATATTAAATTTGTGGGTTTTGTGTTAAATATTTTATAGTACAAAGACTCTGTGTGTTTCACAATTCTCCTTAGAATTAAATAGGAACCTTAAAAGGTTAGCTTCAAAATAATTATATGTAAAAGACTCTCAGGAAGGTATTTAAAGAATTCTGCATAAAAATACGAATGCTTTTCATTTATTTTTGAACTGGATGTCCCCCACAGCCCCTTAAAATTAAAATTCTTTTTAATTTTAAGAATTAAAAAATCAGGTGCTTTAAAACAAAAATTTGACTGCATTTCAATGTAGTTATGCCCCATATTTATCCATCAATTTAAATTTAGTGTTAACATTTATGTCCAGAAGGATGCATGCATTTAGCTCTTCTTTTTTTTTTTTTTTTTTTTTTCCTTTTTGTCTTTTTTCGTGACTGGCAACGGATCGCAACCCTCAGTGTCGCGCCCGTACCGGACCGGGACCAGCCACGGGATCGCAACCCTCGGTGTTGCTCCCGCCCCTCGCTCAGCCAGTGAGCGGCTGGTCTGTATGTGGGATCCGAACCCTCGGTGGGAGTGCCACCGTGCTTCCCAAGCGGTGCACTATAGCAGTGCGCCACCAGTGAGCGGCTGGTCTGTATGTGGGATCCGAACCCTCGGTGGGAGTGCCACCACGCTTCCCAAGCAGTGCACTATAGCAGTGCGCCGCCGGGCCGGCCCCACATTTAGCTCTTCTGAATATTAGTTCTTCACAATCATATGTCATAATCAGATTTGGAGGAAGTATCTTCACAAATATAAAGCATATATTGCCCAGGTATTAACAAATGTGCCTAATGGTGACAAGTCTACTATGGGAAAAGGCAAAATCTTAACAATGGGAACTGGTTTCATCTATGTTTTCATCTATGTTCTGCACACCTAATGTACTTCCACCTACCTCTCCTTGAACTTCTTCTGAAATTCTATCAGTTTGGAACTTTGGTTTGCAAATATCAGAAAAATTGATCCACCCTGACAAAAACCCAAAAATTTAAAGCTCTTATATCTGGAAGTCCAGTAGCAGTTTAAGCCAATGTCTCTTGCTCAGTTTCTTTGAGATATGCTCAGCGATGCCCTCCTCTGTGTTGTGTTTTGACTTTCTTCTTAGGCTGCCTTCCTTGCTGGAGGCAAAATGGCTCGAGTTAGGTTAGACCTTTGACTGGGACATCTGGCAGAAGAGAAGGTGTCTCTTCCAGTGGTCTCTCCTAAGAGGAAGGAAACATTTTCCCAGAAGCCCCTAGCAAATCTTCCCTTTTGTCCTAATGAATTGAGTCACATGCTAATCTCTAAATGATTCCTCTGGCCAGGAAAATGTGTTGATTGGCATAGGCCTATAGTTCTAAACCACTTACTAAGGCAAGTGGAATGCAGTTAGCTTTAGACTAATAAACAACAACAGCAATAAAAACAGCATGGGCGAGTGAGTCTGAAAATACTAAGCTGAAGAATGGAAAGTATACCAGAATGGCTGGGAAACTGACGGACAGTAAGTTTAGCTAGTTAGGCATATGCCAAATCCTGGAGAGTCATTCCAAGGACTTTGGCTTTTATTCTGACAGTGATGAATGGTGTCTATGAAGGAATTTAAATTAAACAAGAGTATTACATAAGCACACCAATATTTTAGAAAGACAATCCTTGTTTTTAATGTAGAAAGATAATATAATAGTCCAGTGATAAATGCTGACAGCCTGCGTAAAGCTTTATGAGGAGGAAGAGAACATATATTCAAGAGATAACTGGAAGGGGAAATAAACAGGACTTTGCCACCAGAAAGACATCGCAGACTTACTAGCCTGATTGACAAGGTAGACGATGTAGTGCTATTAACAGAGAAGGGGACCCAGAAGAACACCACATTTTGAGGGTAAGTTGAGTTTTGGATATTTTGAACCTGAGATATGTGATAGAAATGGGCAAAAATTCTAGTCTATGCAGGTAAAAATTTGGGTATGAAACTTAGCAAAGAGGTAAGTTCTGAAGGCGTACATTTGTGGTTTATCACCAAGTATATTGGATTATATTTGTACTTGTAGCAATAGATGAGATTTCCAAAGGAGACACAAATGAAAAGACTCGAATTTAAGGAGGGAGCCATGAGAACCATCAACATCTAAGGGAAAGTTAGAGGAAGAAAAGCCAGTATAGGAGACTGGGGAGGAAAGGCCAGGGAGGTAGGTAGAAGAATGTGATGAATGGAGACTAAGGAAAAACACGAAATAAAAGGAGCGATTGTCAAGGAAGCCAGGGAAGGGTAAGGAAAGAGAAGGACTGGAAAGTGTTTGGGTAACTTGAAGAATCTGAACAGAGGGTTTTTAAAAAAGAAAACTAGATCTAAACAAAACCATCTGACACATTTCTGACTGCCAAACCACAGAACCTCGTATTTGTCAACCAACATTTACAACATTTACTGTAAATCTTACTCTAAGCAGAATGTAATGAATAATTTGGTAAGTAGTGCTAGTGTGATCTCAGATATCACTGAGTTCTAAGAACAATGCCCTAGAGATACTGTCAATTCTAATAAGTACATGTCACACAAAAAAGGAGTCCATGTAACAATTATGTTACAGAGAACTTAGTACAAATAAATAAGAAATTTTATTTTAAAAAAGTGTTCTTGGAATATTTTCTTTCCATCGATGCCAAGAATATTTGGCCTATTCTGTATAATTTTTTTTTGGTATAGAAAAAAATTAATATATTTCTACTATACACTGAATTTCTATTTATTGATATACTGTTTAACATTAGGAAAATTCATGACCGAAGTGTTCTGTTAAATGCAATAAATTGATGCCTATTTCAAGCTTTCCTAAGGACACCAGGCAATATCGATATGATTAAATGAGTTGCAATGGAAAGGTGATGTCTATTTTCCCCTTTTC